GTTTGACCTACTTTAAGAAATTTTTATCATTGGTCATAACTTTTGAACAGTTGGTGCTAAGGCTTCCATATTTCACAAGTGTATTTCGTGTTATAAGTCCTTTTCTAAAGTACCAATAGTTTTAACCTTTTATTCTTGACCTTGGATTTTGACTTTCTTTTTAAAAAAATTAAACCTTGGCCATAACTTTTGAATGGGTGGTGTCAGGGTTTTCATATTTCACAAGTATATTCCATGTGACAAGTTCTTCCATTATATACAACATTAATAATGACCTTTGGCCTTGGAGTTTGACATATTTTGAAAAAAAATATAACCTTGCGTTAACTTTGAATGGTTGGTCCTAGGGCTTTCATCTTTCACAGGTGTATATTCCTTGTGACAAGACCTTTCTTTGGGTACCAACATTTTTGATCTCTTGACCTTGGAGTTTGATTTGTATTTGAGAAATTTTAACCCTTACCAAGTGTTGCCAAACGGGGGAGTCAGTGTTTCAGCACATCTTGTTTCACTTCTGAATTACTGAAGAAGAATATATGGTTTTCATATTCATTGTGGCAAGTCCTTCCTTTCGGTACAAAAAATTTTGACCTTAATCTTAGAATTTGACCTCCTTTTGCAAAACTTTAATCTTGGCCGTAACTTTTGAAGAGTTGGTGCTAGAGCTTTCATATTTTACATGTGTATTCCTTTTGACAAGATTTTCCCTTGGGTACCAACATTTTTTGACCTTGGAGTTTGACTTGCATCTGAAAAACTTCAACCTTGGCCATAACTGTTGAACAGTTGGTGCAAGAGCTTTCATATTTCATATGTATATTCTTTGTGGCAAGACATTCCTTTGGGTACAAGTGTATTTCTTGTGATAAGTCCTTTCCTTAAGTATCAAAAGTTTTGACCTTTTATCCTAGACCTTTGAGTCTGACCTTCTTTTTAAAAGTCTCTAATCTTGGCCGCAAGTTTTCAATGGTTTGTGTCAAGGCTTCCATATTTCAGAGGTATATTTCTTCTAACAAGACCTTCCCGTGTGCACCATTAATGTTGACCTTTGACCTTGGAGTTTGACCTATTTTGAAAAACTTTAACCTTGACGTTAACTTTGAATGTGCTAGGGCTTTCATCTTTCACAGGTGTTTTCCTCGTGACAAGACCTTTCTTTGGTTACCAACATTTTTGATCTCTTGATTTTGGAGTTCGATTTGTATTTGAGAAACTTTAACCCTCGCTTAGTGATGCCATATTGGGAGCATCAGTGTTTCAGCACATCTTTTTTCACTTTTGAATCATTAAAGAAGGATATATGGATTTCATATTGCCCCTCAATCGCTTAATGCGAAATTTCAACATCCAACTGATACTTTCAATCCATTCTGACAAAGTGCTAAAATCTTGTTTTTTTATGTTTAGCCCATCGCCTTGCGAAATCTTCCACGGAATTCATAATATTTATGAAATCATGATGCCAGTTGAAAGATCAGGTTAACCTTAACTTTGGTCCTTATAAGTGATTTAAGGTCCTTATTGAATACATTTACGTCACCTGTAATGGCATGTCCAGAAGGACTAAAGTTGTACGGGGAAGAAGAACATGAACACGTTAGAGGATTATGTTTCAGGTGTTCGATGTTTAGGCATTGTAATTAAAAAAGTTCAGAGGCAATAATTGATATGGTGACGTCTTACGATTGTAAAAATACAGAGCTAGTTTGATTCCAATCAACGTATCATAGAATTTCTAGAAAACAATTTAACAGCAAATAATGAAAAAGTTGAAAATAACGAACAGTAGTCGATCTCAAATATCTATAAAAAAAAAATACAAATCTGTGAACAGGACAAACAACTACGATCGACCAAGGAAATTCCAGGAATGGAATTGACTGTCTAGGAGGAGTAAGCATCCCCTGTTGACCGGTCACACCAACAGTGAACCCTGTATATTGATCAGGTAGATGGAATATTCGGTATTCAAATTTAGTATAAAAACAAAGGCCTTACATTTGTATGAAAAACGTCAACGTCCCCCTCAAGAATTTTTCACTCATATGGAGACGCCACCACTTGCTGGTGGAGAGCTACAAATTTTGACCTATACTCGGCACTCAGGGCCATTGAGGGACCTTTTTGTGCCAGCACCTACTGCGACAAGGAACCTCGTTTTATACGGTCTCATCCGAAGGACCGGTCTCCACGTCTCACAGTGGGATTCGAACCCGCGACGTAAGGATCAACTCCTTACTCCGCGACTCTAGAGCGAACGCTCTAACCACTGCGCCACGCAGGCGGCCAATAACATTTGAATCGCAAATGCAAATAAACTGACACCAGTGGTAGTATGATAATGACCAACTGTTCTATAAGGAAAAGGTTTCAGTCTTTTCAAAGTGTGTGAATCCTTCTGTACCTGTCTGAAATCAAGCGATATAAATAGTTGTCTTTGCACTTTTAACAAATTATTGAATTAGCTTGATACAAGAATTGTCCAAACATTGTTTACATTTACTATAGTATAGTACAGCAAAAAAAGCAACATCTTAACAAATTGTTGAATTAGTTGGATACAAGAATTGTCCAAACATTGTTTACCTGCACTATAGTATAGTACCACAAAAAGTAACATCAATACACATGACAATTGTTTGTTTGTTTATTGTTGTTTAACGTCTCTCGAGAGAATTTTTCACTCATACGGAGACGCCACCACGGAGAGCTGCTAATTTTTGACCCTATACTCGGCACTTAGAGCCATTGAGCAGTGAGGGATCTTTTTCGTGTCAGCACTTACTGCGACACGGGACTTCGGTTTATACGGTCTCATTCGAAGGACCGGTCTCCACGTCCCACACTGGGATTCGAACCCGCGACGTAAGGATCAACTCCTTACTCCGCGACTCTAGAGAAAACGCTCTTATCACTGCGCCACACTGGCGACGATTGTAAATTCATATCTCGGGAATAATTTGCATTCAATAGTTTAACAACATCAACAATAAAAAAGTTAATAAACAAATATTACTGTCACAATGGGGTCATAATACTAATGTTCATTTAGACTTTCTAATTCTTTTATTAACTTCGATGTGGTGAAAACGGAAGGATAGATGGTTCGCATATTGACTTTTAACTTTTTAAACGATTCTTTATATATATTTCAAGAACACTAAATCCATTCTGAAAAAAGTTTTCTGTCTTCTCCTTCAGATTTAGCCCGACGTCTGGCGTAATCGTCAACAGAATCCATAATAGGAATCAATTTCTGTCGCCAGTTGATAGATCGGGGCTACCTGTATTTAGGACCTTCTTAGATGATTGCTTTTAGGTCTTCATTTTCAACTTATTAATATCACCAGTAGAACATGTCCAGTGGGACTGTAGTTAAAATAAGATCACTTACGAGGATTTTGTATTGGGTGTTCAATATCCAGGCACCGTAAGATTTGTTTTAAAAAAGCCCATTTCTTTACATTGGCACATTGCCGGCTTGAAAGATTCCTTAAATCATTTATGTGGTCGTTTCAATCATACGAAAGACCTTGCCTAATTTCCTGATCCAGTATTCTTTTCGTTGTCTACGGAAAGGAGTACGAGTATTAAAAAACTTTAAATCTTCGTTGTTTGTTTGTTTAACGTCCCTTCATGAATTTTTCACTCATATTGTTTCGTCACTACTTGTCGGTGGAGGGCTGCTAATTTAGACCTGTAGTCGGCACTTACGGCCATTGAGCAGAAAGTGATCTTTTCCATGCCAACACCAACCGCGATACGGGTTATCGGATTATGGGTCTCATCCGAAAGATCTAGACCGGTCTCCACGTCCCGCAGTGGGATTCGAACCCGCGACATAAGAATCAACTTCTTACTCCGCGACAACAGAGCAAACGCTCTAACGGCTGTGCCACGCCGGTGGCCTGTTATTATCAATTACTATCACCGAAATGTATTCCTTTTCACACTGGGTCAAATTCTGAGCTATAATCCTATGCAAGATTCTATCACTTGAGTTCATTGGCTGTTCTCATGAGAGCTCATTGGATTAAAACAAACAAAACAACATTTAGACAAATCACTATCGAATTAAGTTTAGAAGGCGAAGCTAATAACTGCACTTTACACTCCTAAATTAATTTCCATAACGTAAATTTAGAGCCATCTACCAAAAGTTTCTCACTATCTGCAGTGCCAAATATAGAGGCAAATTCAAACATTTCATGAAATATTGCTAGAGATATTTTTGTAAAGGTTATATAGCATCTCTTCTGTGTGAGCCAATTTACTCAGCAGTGTACCATGACAAATCGTAGACATCAATATGCCTTTGCAAAAGGAATTTAACCAAATTATTATAGGTTTTCATTCGACTTTTTAAAGTAAATAAATAAAAAAGGATCAATATACCACAGGCACTCGGGGTCTGGATCCCCCTCCCCCTTTTCCATTTTTTTTCTTTTTTAAATTTGGGGTCGACACACCTTTTTCCTATTTTTGTACTGTAATATGCACTACCTGATATCAATGCTGTAACCCTATTGTCTCAATAAAAGAGAGCTCTCTTTTAATGTATCGGTCGAAAACGATATATTTAAAAGCAGCTTACTGAGACAAAAGGGTTACATTATCGCATATATAATAGAGTACAAAAATAGGAAAAAGGTGTGTCGACCCCAGATTTCAAAATTTAAAAAAAAGGAAAAGGGGGGTCCAGCCTCCACGTGCCTGTGAAATATACATAAATGAATTTTTATTTTATTTATTCATTTAGCTTTCATCTATATACTACGACAATTACTTTGTAATTGAACTTATTAAGCCCAACGCTTATGAAGTAGAGCCATTGAGTGAATTAAGTACTAATTCTTGTATGTACATGTAGCAATGACTCAGTGCGTTTTGACTTTTCGTAAACTATATAAAAAATCCTTTAATGATACTTTTTTTCCTATGATTAAAAGTTAAACTCTAAGGAGTACATCATGTACTTTGATTTTAAATATCTATTGAAGGGACGCATTGGATATGGGAGATAACTGGGATGCTACTCAAGGGAAAAGCGGAGTATTCTAAAGTGTCCAGAGAACAAGTTTTCGTGGAGGGATTGTCTGATATGAGTCAGATGCAGTCTTATAATGGCGTCATTAGCACCCATGTTCCATTTGAATGGCTCCCAAAACAACACGTGGATAACGGCGGGAAAATAATATACGTTGTGCGGAACCCTAAAGACACCGCTGTTTCTATACATAGTTTCTTATGCTCAATCGGATTGATAAGAAGCAACACATTTGAGGAATTCATTCACGAACTTTACTTGGGACGAAGTAAGAATCATTCCAAACACATTTTGTTAATTTTTTCAAAGGGAATATAAAACAAATATATACAGGTAATCTTTTTAAAATGTTTTATAAGGTAAAATGTGAAGTTATTTAGCATTAACTCTTTAGAGGCAATGTATGGAGGATGGTTTGAGTACAACAAGAGTTTCATACAAGAGGCTCGTCGGCGGGATCAAATTTTGATGCTTAGTTATGAGAAACTAAAAAGAGTGAGTAGATTTACATGTAAAAAGTAGTTTAATTTTTGACGTAGTAAAATTACTAAAAATCTGTTGAGCTGGTGTGTACAAAACATGGACACCGAAAAGATAAATATCTCACGAAGCATGTGTAAATTCAGAAAAAAATATTCCTCATACAATGAATAAATATGGGTTTTTCATTAATAATTCATTAATAAAATAAATTGTCTATACTTTAAAGAACACAGAGGCAGAGATTCGAAGGTTAGCTAGCTTCTTGGGTGTAAAATGTACGGAAGGACTTATCACAGAGATATCTGAGCTGACTTCCTTTAGCAAACTTCAGCAAGCAGACAAGAGTGTCAGGGAAGATAAAAAGATGGCAGATATAATGAAGGAACTGCAACTAAATGAAGCTCCTACAGTATATCGAAAAGGTATAAATTCATTTTCATGCCTCTTGAAATATTGGGGGTACAATGTTTTTGTCCTATACATTGTGTATACATGTATGTCTTTCTGTATGTGAAAACTTTATTTATTTTTAATATTTTAACCGTAGTAGGCAGACTCTTCAAGACTGTTACGTAAATTCAGTTCTGAATGCCCTTTCAAATAAACTAAGAGGAAAATTCATGTGTTTATCTGTTTGCCTGTGGTGATTAATATTTGATAATAGGAATGTGAGTGAGAACAGCATTCAGTCATCTTACTAAGATGACAGAGTGCATTCATTGTCGGACACCCACGTGTGATCTCGTCTTTTACTCATCACCCGTGGGCAAACTCGCCGAAAAATCGCTGTAAGTAATTAATATGCGCGGGTCCTTTGATTGACTGCTTCAAAGAGTTGTGATGGGAAATCAACAAATTAAAGTTTACATTACGTATGTATGTTCGGCAATGACAAAAACTTATCCGTAGTTAACACACGGATTTCAAATAAATCTACTCACCGGTGCATTTCGAAGTTTGAGAAAGGTACTCCCATATAATTTCTTACTGGTATTTGACGTAAGTGACCTACAGGTACGATTTGTCTTTAATCGTTTTAAAAGAAAATTTGCACCTTTTAACGAGCGTCAACATATCAAGCATAAAAAGCAAACTAATAAACTTTTTTTTCAAAATTGAAGAATTCCAATTTTCTGATTGGTTGTCCATAATCAACAAATTAGATTATTTTACGACGATATTTCGGCACGTTTTCCCACGGGTGAGGAGTAAAAGACGAGATCAGCCGTGGGTATCCGATGATGAAGGACATTTGAAAGTGTTTTCATTATACATGTATGTATAAGTTAAGGAACAGTACACGGAATTTGATGGTAAGCCAGGAAAGTTGATCATATATGTTTATGCAAGAACATCGGACAATCGTTAAAATTCAGGGAAAAAACAGCAATGATCAACACGTCAAAAATTACATTCTATAATAATCTTAGTACATGTATTTCTAATGTTGATGATGCCACTTGAAATTCGTTTTTTATCATTGTGATTCGTTTTTTATCATTATTGTGAATAAAATTAAATAACCATCTGGCAATTGATTGATTGTGTTTTGTTTTATACGTCCCATTCAAGAACTTTTCACTCATATAGAGACGTCACCATGTACCGGTGAAGGGCTTCAAATTTGGACCTTTATTCGGCACTCAGGGTCAACGCCTGTCGTGATACGGGGCCTCGGTTTTTAAAGTCTCACAGAAAAAATCGCAACTCTCACTTCAGAGTGCTGAATGCTGGTCGAAGGAACAGTTACAACTTTTTTATCCACTTAGGTCATGCAGTCGCTGCTGGGATTTGAACCCAAAATCTTTCGACTGCGGTGCGAGAACTCTACCGACTGATTTTCCCTGATGGTCATCTGATCATTGAAGTTGTAGAACTAAAATATTAAATTATATTATTTTTCTGATGACTAGGGAGAAAAACCAGAATATTACCTCTTTACAAACTACTCGTTTAGAAGGTCTCTGCTTCAAGATTTTTTTATATATACTTTTTTAAATTACAGCCAAGCTGTAAATAATTTTTTTTTCTGTTTTGTAATCACAGTGGGTCGGTAACAGTTGACATATATGAACACTTCATTAAATTTGAAAATATTTGCCATGTTTTTATTTACAGTGAGGTTTTTTTCTTCATTTCAGGTGAAATAGGAGACTGGAAGAACTATTTCACAGTGGCGCTGAATGAAGAATTCGACAAAGCTTACGCAGAGAGAATGAATGACGTCGACCTCCAAATAGAATTTGAATAGCATAATTATGAAGCTATCACTTTTTATTATTGTTTATCATTTCTATTATTGTTTTTAGGTACGTGTTGTTACTGAGTATTTAGTGATAGTCTTTTGGAAATGATATTCATTTATTCCTTGTTTTATGTCAAATATATGGAAAAAAGTTTATATACTCAAAAATTAATAATGATGGTGTTTGTAGCATGATCGGTAGCGCGTTGGACTGAAGTTCTCGGGATCGGGACTTCGATCCCAACCGTGGGTGCCAACAGGTATTCTCTAGAAAAGACAGCCGTGCACTATTTCGGAATAGTATACTTACGCTATTTAAATATCTTTTATATTATACGAAAATAGTTGGGTATTGATTATATAGAGTCAAACTGACAGGAGCATGATAATAAAAAAACTTCACTGAATGTACATAGTGCACACGTACAGCATTATCCAAATAAAAACATAGATGCTACGAAAATAATTTAACTGTGTATTAGTTGAAATGCAATTTCTAATTCAAGTGGCACCTTTTCTAATTTGAAATAGAAGAAAGACACATCACTAGCGGATGGACTGTATAACTCGTGAAATAGAGTGCAAAAACTTTGTCAAAATGTGTATCTTTCTCTCACAACATACCAAAAAACGAATAACTTTTACAAACTCCTATTATTTTATGCTATTGTCTTTCATTAAGTCGACATTTTACCTTTAATAATTTCAAATAAATTGTTATGTAAAAAGGATTTGCAACCTTATTTGATATTTAGGCCTAAAGGAAACACGTTTTGGGCATAGTATAGAACGTTTCCGAAACAATCACCCAATAAAACCTTGCCAACCCCACTTACAGTACACAGTATATGTGTTTGACACTGACAGTACACAGTATATGTGTTTGACACTGACAGTACACAGTATATGTTTAGACACTTACAATAGACAGTATTTGTTTTAACACTGACAGTACACAGTATATGTTTTAACACTGACAGTACACAGCACATATATTTGACACTGACAGTACACAGTACATATGTTTGACACTGACAGTACACAGTATATATGTTTGACACAGTACACAGTATATGTTTTGACACTGACAGTATACAGTATATGTTTTGACACTGACAGTACACAGTATTTGTTTTAACATAGACAGTACACAGTATTTTTGACACTGACAGTTCACAGTACATGTATATATGTTTGACACTGACAGTGCACAGTATTTGTTTAGACACTTACAATAGACAGTATTTGTTTAAACACTGACAGTACACAGAATATGTTTTAACACTGACAGTTCACAGTACATATGTTTGACACTGACAGTACACAGTACATTTGTTTGACACTGACAGTACACAGTATATATGTTTGACACAGTACACAGTATATGTTTTGACACTGACAGTATACAGTATATGTTTTGACACTGACAGTACACAGTATTTGTTTTAACATAGACAGTACACAGTATTTGTTTTAACACTGCCAGTACACAGTATATGTTTTAACACTGACAGTATACAGTATATGTAAATGTTTTGACACTGACAGTACACAGTATTTGTTTTAACACTGACAGTACACAGTATTTATTTTTGACACTGACAGTTCACAGTACATGTATATATGTTTGACACTGACAGTACACAGTATATGTTTTAACACTGACAGTGCACAGTATTATTAGTTACATAGTTTTTTAGTGACAGGGTACGGGATGATACCTGGTTAGTAAATTTCGCCTCGCCAGGTATGAAATTTACTAACTAGGTATCATCCCGTACCCTGTCACTACAAAACTATGTAACGAATTTACCACACCGATAAAATATTTATGCATTGTCTGTGGTTTGTAAAATTGTTTTTCTCACTATATATATGTTTCATCACTCATACAATGCCTATTATGACGTCACGTTGTGTGACGTAATGTTGTTTTGCGAGTGTTTCGTGCTGTAATAACGTACTGACAGTTTTGAAGACTTTCAGTAAAGGGAGAAAAAGGTTCCATCTTCGTTACTTACATTAGTTAACTGTAACATTGTCAACAGACACTCCGCAAATCGCGTGAACTCGAGTTGTTCGAACGTTACAAAAGAACGATAACTCCGTATCGACCATGTATTGATTTTCTGTAATGATAATAAACCCTCTTCTCTCTTTCTTTATAATGTTCATTTTGACATCTTGGAAATGTAATGGATTGTGTGATGTTAATAAGATGAAAATGGTATTTGCTTTATTTGGAGAAAGAAAAAATGACATTATTGGTTTACAAGAAACGCATTTGAAAGTTGATTTTATCGAAAAATATAAACAATTGTGGAATGGTATTGTACTATATAGTAATTTTGACACAGCATCAAAGGGTGTAGGATTTTTGATTAGAAATGAAGTAAAAGATAAAGTCTAATTTATTAAAGGATTTGATGGTAGATATTTACATATAACTTATAATGAAAATAATGAAAACATAGATGTTATTAATATTAACGCACCAAATTATACAAATGAAAGGGCAGCATTTTTTCAATCTATTTCACACATTATTCCTCAGTCTAATAATTTATTGATATTGGGAGATTTCAATAATTCTCTTTAAGAGTAAGATAGGTCAGGAAAGGCAACTCATGTTTATGATCAGTTCTATAAAGCCCTTTATAATTTGATGAGTGAACACACAATGTTGTTGATTTATGGAGGAAAAGGAAAAGTAAGGTAAAAACATTTTCTAGGAAGTTACATGTAGTTATAGAAAAGTTTTTTGGTTCAGAGTAAAATAGACTATATTTTAGTTTCACAAAGTATTTCTGATTTTGTTAAAAGTATATGTTATGTTGAGACTACATAAGTGATCACTTAGTGGTTGTATTATATTTTGACAATGTAACATGTGAACGTGGACCTGGTTTATGGATACACAGTAATTTATTGTTGAATGATGAAATATACCGATCAAGAATAATTGAAATAGTTGAAAGAGAAAAATCTTTCCATTTACTTGAAAGCTCAACAACACTTATATGGTGGGACAATTTGAAATAGAAGATTAAAAATTTTCAGAGAGTTTTAGTAAAAGTAGAGCAAAAGAAAGAAATAAAGAATATTACAGATTACAAAATAGTATTCAAAGATTGTCACAAAATATTGCAGAAGGTAGGAATATTAATATAGAGAAATATGAAGCTTTAAAACAAGACCTGTCTGATTTTGAATTAGAGAAATGCCAAGGAGCAATATTAAGGTCAAAAGCAAAATGGGCGAATGAATCTGACATATGTACAAATATTTTTTGAACCTAGAAAATCTAGACAAGAACCAAATTCATTTAAAGAATTATTAGATGATGAAGGTATTATAAAATCAGACAAAGAATCAATTTTAGATATAGAATACAATTTTTATACACAGTTATATTCATCAGTTAAAGCAGATGATGAAAGCAGAAGACATTATTTATCATTTATGAGTAGAAAAATGAATGAAAATGATATTGAATTGTGTGAAAATGCTATAAATAAAAATGAAATTAATAATGCAGTAAAAGAAATGGCAAACAATAAAAGCCCAGGGTCTGATGGATTGACAGTAGAATTTTATAAAGCTTTTTTGCCACAGTTGAGTGAAATATATGGAGATAACGAACAATATTCAAGCTCAAAAGTCCATAATCAATACAAAATAGGAGCAGAGCAAACACGGACCTCCAAACATCAGAGGTGGGATCAGGTGCCATGGAGGAGTGAGCATCCCCTGCCGACCGGTCACACCCGCCGTGTGCTCCTTGTCATGATCGGAAAATAACGGAAAAATCCGTCGACAATTCAGTATGTAAATAATGGCCTAACAATTAGTGGGAAAAACGTCAGTCAGCATTTGACTCAATGATAAATTGTATTTGCTGACAAGGTCATTGTATCGACCATAGAACTTACGAAATGATGACTTTAAACGAGACAGCTGATATTCTTGTTTCAACAACTTATTTGTCAATAATTTAACTCGTTTTAGAAATTGTACATACGTAGAGCATGCTCTTGCGTATCGAATCAACTGAGAGATATATACCACGTATGCAGGTGATGAAGGTATATTGCTGCATAAGTAAGGGAAGTTGACGATTGAAAAGTTAAAGTCATCACGTTTATCATAAAGCTTGGTTGTTAGATTATCATTAACGTCTTTTCAAGTAAAATACCCAAATATGAAACAGATGTGTCAGACTCTGTGGTATCTTTTATCTCAAGTTCACAAGGATATATCGTATCGACATAAGAATGGAAATAGCCATTGTTAATTGACAATACGTCGTCGATATATCTAAATGTCCACAGCAAGTGTTTTCTTCTTTTCACGTACAAGATTTTGGACAAATTCTGCTTCATATGAATACAAAAAAGGTCTGCTAATAACGTGGCGCAATTGGTACCCATGGGAATTCCAATAGATTGTTGGAAGACCTGGTCTCCAAAAACCACATAGATATTGTCAATCAGAAACTCAAGCATCTTTTTAATGTCAACTTCAGAGTACTTGTGTGAACAATCAGAATGTTTTTTAACAAAATAATTTTGAGTGGAATTTTATTTAAGGTATTCAAAGAAGCTGAAGAGCATGGTAATCTTTCACATTCAATGAAAATGGGTATTTTAACATTATTATACAAGAAAAAAAAGGTGATAAAAAACTTTTTAAAAATTGGAGACTATAAGTCTTCTAAACGTCGATTACAAGATAATAGCAAGGGTGACGTCAAATAGATTACAACATTTGGAAGGTTAAGCATTTGACCGTGTACATCTACATGTACGTGTAAACCTAAAAGTGTTTTTTTTTCAAATACGCGTAACTAACATCACGTTCTGTTTAGCAAACTGTACGTGTACCGGTACGTGTAAAACGTCATTTCAACAAGTCAATTTACAATCCTTTCGTATCAAATAATTCTATAACTTTGATTAAAAGAGATACATAAATGTACGTAATAAACTCTCAACATCACAACAAACACCGCCTGAAATATATATATTCTATAATTTGAGTTTAAGAAGCTACAAGTTCTTACATCCGTGTACTTATCAATCTACACGTTGTGTACAACTTGTAGAATTACGCGGTATGCAAAACTGATGACGTAAATCGCGGTAAAATAGGGAATATCCCTAGCTACACGTACACGTAGACGTACATGGTCATCTGCTTAACCTCTCTATTATATCTGAAAATCAAACTTGTTGCATTATGAGAAGAGGTATTGCTGACACTTTGATTAGTATTAAAGATGTTATTGATTTAGTTGATATGGATAATATTGAGGGTTATGTGGTAAAAATTGATCAGGAAAAGGTCTTTGATAGGGTTAGTCAGGAATATTTGTTTGAAGTTTTAGAATTATTTGGATTTGGACCATGTTTTAGAAAATGGATACGTATTTTTTATACTGACATATAAAGTAGTGTAAAATGTAACGGATTTTTAACTAGATATTTTCCAATCAAGAATTCAGTGAGACAAGGTTGTCCAATATCTGCTTTGTTGTATGTTTTATCAATAACGAATTAATAAGGGGTATTCCAATTCCAATGTCAAATAAAACAGGACTAATGTTTCAGCTTCCAGATGATACAACATTGACTCTCCCAGACAAAACATCTGTTTGTGAAGTTTTAAAATTTTTTGATTTGTATGGAAAAGCATCCGGGGCCAAAATTAATATTCAGAAGTCTGAAATAATATGCATAGGAATTGGAGATATTCTCGAACATGAAAAAATTATAATAATTATTTCTCAAACAAATGTCATGAAAATACTGGGATTTATTTTGGTAAAAATAGAAAAGAATGTAAACATTTGAATTGGGGAGATAAAGTGCAAAAAATCAAACGAAGTTATAAATTTATGGAGACAAAGACGTTTATCAATTCAAGGAAGAGCTATTGTAATTAATTGTTTGCTTATGTCTAAATTATGGTACACGTTGACAGTTATTTCAATCCCTCAGTGGGCAAGAGAAATTATTCAAAAAGAGTGTTCTGATTTTGTCTGGAATTTTGGTGCTCACTTAGTTTCGTATAAAACTATAACTGGTAAAAAAAACATTATGGTGGCCTGAAAATAAGTGATATTCATTTAAAAATGTTATCATTTAGACTAAAGGTGTTAGCCAAATATTTCTGTCACACAGAAGAATTTGTATGGAACGATATATTCAATTATTTTTTTTACAAAGATTGGCAATTTAAAAGGAGGTATGGAAGCATTTTTACTACAGTTTAACAAAAAAGATTTTAAAAGCTTACCTAGTTTTTATGTAGAATTATTTAGTGTGTGGTATGCTGTAAAAGAGTATGTTTATAGTCCCGAAAAAGGAAATGACATTTTTAATTACTGCTTATTTTGTAATCCAAAAATAATGAATGGTAACAAAATGTTATATTGGAATCATTTTATTAATGCTGGTATAATTCATGTGAAAGATATATCATACGAAGTTATTCCTGGTGTTTTACCGTTGTCCAGCATACTAGTAGTTGAAATTATACATGAAGACAATTCAGAAATAAGTGTATCATTGATTAAGAAAATTATACAAATCTACTATCTATTTTACCAGATGATTGGAAGGAATATGTTTTAAAGAATGAATACAGGAGAGATGTTTTTATTCCCGAGTTTATTATTTCATTTAAACAAGAAAAAATTATGTTCAATTCATGCACTTCCAACATATTTTATAAAATATTGGTTGAAAAACATTTTCAATTACCTGTATCAGATACATACTGGAAAAACAAACGAATGGTAAATGATAATTGTCTCAAAAAGGTGGATTTCATTGTGAGAATCGCATAAAATCCCTTATATAGTTGAATTAGATTTTAAAATATATCACAATGCTATTTTTACATATGAGAAATTGTTAAAAATTGGAATATCAGAAATAGATTTATGTCCAATTTGTAGATCTGAAAATGAAGATATTTTACATTTGTTTTTAACATGTGATGAATTAGTAGAATTTAAAAACAATTTTGTGATTTATCATTTAGAGTCACTTTTAAAAGACGTTGATATTGGTGTGTACAATAGTTTAGACTTTGAAAGTATATTTATGTTAATAGCGATTCTCTGTAACCACTTAAACTTCTTTGCCACGCATGGTC